TAAAGGAAAATCTAAGAAATATAATCTGAAGAATGTTCGAACCGTGAAAGGATTGTCTCTTCCAGAACAAACCATCAACATGGAGGATTGGAAGAGTTATGATTATTTGAAAGATCTTCCAATCGATGACTACGCTAATGAACGACCAATGATATTGATTGGCCAGGACAATATCAATTTGATACTACCCCGACAGATACGTAATGGACCCGAACATCTTCCGGTTGCTACGAAGTGCAAACTAGGTTGGTCTCTCCATGGTGTTTCTCCAGGTCAGCGTAGGATGCATGCTCAAATCCATCATATTTGTGAGAGTGAAGTTCGTCTGGAAGAAATGATGAAGAATTCTTTTTCGACTGAAGCATTTGGTGTAGCTATCGTTCCTCATATATTGAGCAAAGAAGATGCAAGAGCTATGGAACTCATGAATCAAACAGCCAAGAGAGTAGGTAATCGATTTGAGATAGGACTCCTCTGGAAATGCGAAGACATCAAACTTCCAGAGAGTAAGATCATCGCTCTTCAAAGGCTCAGATGTTTAGAAAGAAAGTTCAGGAAAAATGAAGGGTTTGCCTCGCAGTATTGTGAGAAAATCGAAAGCTACATAGAAAAAGGATATGCTGAAAAAGTACCACCAGAAGAAGCAAAGATCGAATCGACGAGGACTTGGTATATGCCACATTTCGCCACCGAAAATGTGAACAAACCTGGAAAAATTCGGTTGGTTTTCGATGCCTCCGCCAAAAGCAATGGGGAGAGTTTGAATGATAACCTGCTGTCCGGACCTGATTTATTACAGTCTCTCACATCAATTTTATGGAAGTTCAGGCAGCGAAAATACGGTATATGTGGTGACATACGTGAAATGTTTCACCAAGTGAAGATTCGTAAGGAAGATCGATGTGCTCAGCGTTTCCTGTGGAGAGGATTGGACTATGAGAAAGCACCAGAAGTTTATGAGATGAAAGTGATGACGTTTGGTGCTGCATGTTCACCAGTATGTGCCCAATTCATCAAGAATTTGAATGCAGAACAAAAATCTCCTTCCGAAAAAGTCTTGAATGCCATCACCAAGAAATTTTATGTTGACGACTATTTGGATTCGTTAGATACAGAAGAAGAAGCACTTCAAATGGTACAAGATGTATATAAAGTTCATGCGCTTGGAGGTTTCGAAGTTGTGAACTGGATCTCGAATTCAAAATTAGTCAAAGAAACTCTGTCCGAAGAAATGCTGATGATGAAGACATTCAATAATGATATTTGCTCGCCTGAGAGAGTTCTGGGGATATGGTGGCAGTCAACAACAGATGAACTTTTATTTAAAATCAATACTGAAGTCCTTAAAACTAGCGATTCGACCGAAAATTTCACGAAAAGGAAAATATTGAAAAATATCATGTCAGTATATGATCCCCTAGGCCTCCTAGCATGTTTCACAGTGCGAGCGAAGATACTTATGCAAGATGTGTGGCGCTTAGGAATCAGCTGGGATGAACATGTTCCTGAAAGTATTCAAGAAAAATGGCTCAGATGGTTGGAAGACCTCAAGGATATTGAAAGAGTCAGAATACCCAGATGTTATTCCACAAATATTCCCGCTGCAAAGCGACTTGAATTACATACATTTTGCGATAGTAGCGAGAAGGCATTTTGCAGTGTCACATATCTTCGAATCGTCGGAGACACTTCCATAGATGTATCGATGATATCAGCAAAGACCAGAGTTGCCCCGCTGAAGCCGTTGTCCATTCCGAGGCTTGAGCTGCAAGCTGCAGTGATGGCTAGTCGATTATCACGCACTATATACGACGAATTGGAACTCGAAATCTGTCAGAAGTATTTTTGGTCGGACTCCAAATGCGTCATACAGTGGATACGAAGTAATGGTAGGGATTTCAAACAGTTTGTAGCGCATCGTATAGGTGGAATTCAAGAAAATACTTTAGCTGAAGAATGGCGATGGTTACCAACCAATGAAAATGTTGCGGACTATGCTACAAGACTCAAATTCAGTGATAAAATCGAAACTATTCTACAAAACTGGTTTCATGGTCCAGAGTTCTTAAGAAAACCTGAAGAATTTTGGCCATCAGAAAATGAAATTTTATGTAGTCAATTGGGTCCAGAATACTCTACTGAAATGAAAGCAGAGTTTGTAGCAGTTTCAACCGAAGGTAAAAATATTATCAACCTAGAGAGATTTTCTAAGTGGATTCGACTGATCCGAACAACAGCTTGGGTGAGAAGATATGTACAAAAATTGTTGAAAAAAGTAAGAAAAGAAGATATGGCATTTCCAATAGATTTGACTGTACAAGAGATAACTGAAGCGGAAAAATACTTGATAGGCATATCTCAAGAGCAGAGTTTTCAAGATGATATCGAAACATTAAGGAGATATGGACATTTAAATCGGATGAGTCGTTTGGAACAACTATCGGCATGCCTAGATAAAGATGGGTTGTTGATCTTAGATGGCAGACTAAATTTGGCCACTCAAATGGAATACAGGGCGAAGAAACCATATATTCTCAGTTCGAAAGACCCATACACGAAGTTATTGTTGCAACATTACCATGAAAAGTTCCGTCATCAAGGTATTGAGACAATCCTGAACGACGTGAGGCAACGATTTTGGGTCATTGATGGACGAGCTGCAGTGAAGTCAACTTTCACCCGATGTCTGGTGTGCAGAAGATCTAAGGCAAAACCTGCGGTACCCATAATGGGGCAACTACCAGAAGTACGGTTGACTCCAGATGTTCGAGCGTTTGTGAACGTCGGCATGGACTATTTTGGACCACTGCAAGTTTGTGTGGGTCGTCGAAGAGAGAAAAGATGGGGAGTTCTGTTCACCTGTATGGCGATCAGAGCTATTCATCTGGAAGTTGCGTATAGTTTAACCACAGACTCTACTATAATGGCTATCAGAAGAATGATTGCGCGAAGAGGAAAACCATTGAAAATATTTTGCGACAACGGAACAAATCTCCGTGGCGCCGCTGATGAATTGAAAAAATGTCTTGCTGAACTGAATAAATCGGCTTTGTACGATACAATGTCCTCAGAAGGTATAGACTTTCAATTCATACCACCTGCAGCTCCACACATGGCCGGCGTTTGGGAGCGGCTGATTGGTTCTGTCAAGAGAACTATCGGATTTGCTCTATATAATCAGTCGCTTCGTGATGAAACTCTCTCAACGCTATTAGCAGAGGCGGAAAATATAGTGAACTCCCGTCCTCTCACCTATGTTTCTGTGGATGCTGCAGATCCTGAAGCACTTACCCCGAATCATTTCTTGGTTGGATATGGTAATCAGAATGAACCAATATGTATAACCGATTCAGGATCAACATTACGAAAACAGTGGAAGAAATCCCAGATGATGACTGATATATTTTGGCGTAGATGGATGAAGGAATATCTACCCCGGCTGAATAAACGTTCCAAATGGACAGACGATAATAAACCAATTAAAGTTGGAGATATTGTTGTCATAGCGGATGACAATATTCCAAGAAACACCTGGAGATTGGGAAAGGTACAAAAAGTGTTTCCAGGACCAGATGGAAAGATAAGAGTCGCAGAAATAAAAACAAGCACTTCTACTTTCCGAAGACCCACTAGTAAGTTGTGTCGTATACAAGAGACTAGTGAAGAAGAAGACCTTCCTTCACCGCGGGGAGAAATGTGACGGCGTATTAATATCAATGTTTATGTACACATTGTATAGGGGAATTTTGATTATTATTGTCAATGTGGCAGAGTCAGTCACAATTTTGAAAAAGAATAAAGACTTTCTGTTTGAAACTGAAATATTTGATTATCTGTAACAAGAGTAAAAGTGTCCAAAATATCCTCCGTTTTCTCAAATACACAATTCCATCCTTTTTTCTAAAGAATTCGGTTGAGGATCAGCCTTGAGATCATCGAAGTGATGTTCAATTCCTTCTTGCAGCTCTTGACGTGGTTATTTATAAATAGGTAACAGTCTTTTTATAATACTTACTTTCAACTAGCGTCAGTGTTATACTTTAGCATTTTCAAATCGAAATATCCCGAAAACGGTACACAGTATCAAGTTTTACCAAGAGCCCCTTTTTAGTGTAAAATTGAATGATGTTCAAGTTCACATTAAATTTGGACTGGAAAATCTAACTTCTAACAAAAAAGTTATGTTTAAAACTACTCCATACGATACACGGTTCGTCCATAGGTTCGTCGTGTAACTAGCGACCTCTAGAGTGTCAGATATAAAAACAAATTCATGCGATGTGTCAGCTTTCAAAACACATCCATACAAAATTGCATTACAATGTTGCCAGTAGTTTCAACATAATCGTAAAAAATGCGTGAAAAAAATATTTTTTCAACACCTTGTATCTTGAAAACGGATGGTGTTATGACATTTTTTTACTGACCAAACCCAAATTATTTTGCAATTTACCTACCCTAGCAAATCAGGATGATTTAAGGAATTCAAATCTATTGAAATATACTGGACATTTATTTTGAAAAATATATTCAACTTCAGCAAGTTTAGCAATACAAACTAAAGAGGTCTTAAAACATTTTTTGCATTATTCTCAGTATGAGTGAAATCTGAGTGAAAAATTGTATGAAATCTGTTTGGACAATTTTTGATTGGGTGGAAAACTAAAAAGATAAAGTTAAAACTAGAGCTCTGTACATTTAAATTGAATTCATGTCATTCTAATCCTGACTCAATTTTCATGTAATTTCCCACCCATGAGTGTAGGAAAAATTCCCTGAAATTCCTTCATTTTTTATTCCTTCACATCACTTCCCACAGATTGAAGGAGACTCCGCCATAGTAAACTCCAGGACTTCAATTGGCAGAGATTATTCAGAATGTTAATTTTGGTAACTTTCTATTCCATTCAAAAAGATTCCAAAAGATACAGCAATATTCCACTGGGGAATTGAAAATACTTTGGAAAATACTAACAAATTAAACAATCAGTCCATGAACTTCAATTCAGATCCACTGCATTTCCAGGAGTAACCTCAGTTATTGGCTCTTCTTGAATTGTATCACATGCTTCAGAAGTTTCCTGGTCAGTTTTGATTTCTATAGTACTTTCCTTTTCCTCAAAAGTATCCTTCATCTCAACATCTTCAATTATTTCTCCTTCAGTATCATCAACAACCATTTCACTGTCAATTATTCCACTTCCAGAAATGCTGGGCATTTCTTCACTGACAGGGGTTGTCTCTACTTCATTCACTGGGGTTGCTTCTACTTCATCTATAGAGGCTGACTTTTCTTCATTTATTGGAGCTGCTTCTTCTTCATTCACAGGGGTTGCTTGTTCATCCACAGGGGTTGCTTCTTCATTTACAGGGGTTGCTTCTTCATTTACAGGGGTTGCTTCTTCATTTACAGGGGTTGCTTCTTCATTTACAGGGGTTGCTTCTTCATTTACAGGGGTTGCTTCTTCATTTACAGGAGTTGCTTCCTCTTCATTTACAGGGGTTGCTACTATGTCATTTACAGGGGTTGCAACTTCATCATTTACAGGGGGTGTTTCTACTTCCTTCACACCATCTTCTGGTGCATTGATCTCACTGAAAACAGCTTCATCTTTAGCTGTTTCATCAATCAAATCATTTCCAGTAGATAAATCCATATTCACATCCAAATGAATTTGGTTTGTTTCTTCATTATTTTTTTCCATGGTGTCATCATTAGCATCAGTTACAGTAGTTTCATTTCCTTCCCATTGGTTTGTTTCTTCATCAATTTTTTCCATATTGTCATCATTAGCATCAGTTTCAATAGTTTCATTTCCTTCCCTATTGGAATAAGGAATTTGTACATTATCTTCTTCTTTGGCTCCATGTTCTTCCACTTCTGTGCTGATTTCAACTTCCCCTGATAAGCAATCAGGTATGTCTGCAAAATTCATTTCTTCAATAGAATCTGATTCCATTTTATATTCCAGAATATTTGGATCATTATCATTACCAAACAGAAAATTACTTTCAGTAATCACTTCATTATTTGAGGTAGAATTTTCTTCAAACAACATTGTGGGCAGAGTTTCCATCTTGGGTATTTCAGGTGGTACATAATTAATGAATTCATTCTTAATATCTTCTGTAAGTTGGGATGTATATTGTAAATGGGCATCAACATTGTCATCTATATCAGACTCTGAATCCTTTCTAGGCTGACTATATGACCTCAATACTGGAATTTCCAAATGCAGATGACAAGTTGACTCATCAAAGATAGCAGCTATTGGTGTTGAACAAGTGACATCTCCTGTGGTCTTGCCACAAGGTCTGTACAATACTTGATTCGGATCATCCAAAATGTGCTTCTGGCAATATTTGGAAAGTGGAATACTCCTCTCACCACATTTCACTCCTCCTTCAGTAAAGGAACACTTTGAATAAGTACTAGTTTTTGATAAACTTCCATCTGATATTTTCACTCTGAGATCCTTCAGTTTCTTGTTCAATATCCCATCAGTGCCATGACACTTTTGATAATTGTTTAGTGCTTTCAACTTTTTATACAGTCTCTGTTCTTTGGGGTTGTCACGGACTTGGCTATTGATGGTGCAACAAGTTTCCCTTTCCCTCTTGAGGGAATGAAGATACTTTCTTCTCTTTTCAGTGAGTAAGTATTGGAGATGGCGGTACTGCTCAATGTACAGTGATTGCAATCTTATCAGCTTGTCCCTGGTTATCAATGTAACTTCTTCACCTGTGTAAACATTTGCATGTTTCAGTGGATCTTCTTGCTCAGAATCTATACTCTCATTATCTGAGCTATCAGCTTGAGCATCATGCCATACTGAAGAAAATGTGGAGGCTTCAATGTCACTATCAGATTCACTGCAAAAATCCAATACCTCACTACATTTTTCATTGAAAATTGTGGGAGGATCTAGATCCACAAATGGGTCATTAAACTTGGTGAGTTTTTGGTCCACATCTTCTAAGGCAAGGTGATCATTTTCTTCAGAATATTGAGTACTTGATGAACTACTCCTTATCCGAGGTTTCTTGATATAATGGGACAATGAATGGAGCAAAAACTCTGCTGTCCTAGGTGGAGGGTTCTTTGCATTTTGCTTATTTCTTGCCAAAGTTGCTTTCAAAGCATGCTCACTACAGTATCCATATTCCCTTTTATCTACTCTCTGTGCAGGAATATGACATCGTTTTCCATTGCTGCTGTATATAAAGGAACATTGTTTGAAAGGGGCCTGTTTGTCTTGCAAAATATGTTTGGAACAAAATTTGTAACCATCCAAACATAGTTGTGTGCATTCATAAGTCTGATAGGTACATTGTTTCTTATTCTTTAGTTCTATTTCCAACTGTGCTCTCAAGACTGCTGCATCATCCATTTTATTTTGTGGTCGGATGTTGGCCATAATCCTACCTATAAAAAGTGTCCACTTATTTCAATGTCAATAGTTCCTTGGCATTGGTGAATATGGAAAACAAATATATATTGAGGAGAGTTTTCATCAAATTAGAAGAACTTTGAATCTACTTGCAATTATTACTTATTTGCTTTAACAATGCATTTGCATAATAATAATAATAATAATTATTTAATAACAACTTTCCATGATTTTTTTTTTGTTTTGATTTGATTGACATTTGATTTGACACTTGACAGTGAACTCGACTAGAGCCTAAAGTTTTCGAACCATTCCCAAACCTCATGTCAGATTGGTCCGTTTATTGGATGGATCACCAATGAACTCAATATAGTGGATCACAGTGAATCACGTGATACTTCATGGACGCATACTCATTCGCTCGTAGAAAAACAGAATTATCAGCTAGAACCTCAGGGTCTCGAGAGGAAGGAAAAATATCCTTGAAAGCTTAAATCACTCCGATCACAGTGGTATCTGTGATAGTAGGCTGGCGCCAATCTAGTAGTGGACCAGAATAAAACTCCCTGAGTCCCTGACAATCCCATCCTACACAATTTTATTGCGAAAAATAATCATGAAAAAACACGAATCTCAACATATCACATGATGGGAACAGTTCGAAAGATTTAGGCACTTGCTAAACACGTGGAGATCACAGATCAAGATCTTGATCACAGTATCACAGACTTAAATTTTACTTCTGTGGTACTAATGACAATGACAGTTGAAATTTTCGTACAACCTAATCCAACCATAGAAAGGAAAACGTCTTTAGAAATTGAGCTCGCCGCGGCCGCCCCTAAGCATTAAAAATCAGGTACAGAAACGAGAAAGAGAAATCTACCAATGACCACTACGCGCTAGATTTCATATCAACAAGCCAACAGCACAAAGGATTATAAAACGTCAATTCCATTCGTCGAGACATAATTATTATCCACCACGGTACAGTCGTATTCAACAAACCTGTCGCTGTTGGACCCAATGAGCGCTCTTATTGCAGCGGTGACCAAGGGAGCTGACACCGTCCATGTGCGACATGATCTCTGAAGACGACTGTATCTTCATATATGATTGTTGAATATTTTGTGTCCAAATAGGCGGCTAGATGCGTGCGGCATGAAATTATGGTTGCGCAGTAAACAAAATGGGGTAACGAAGGTATTCGAAAGGTATTCGCGGTAGTCGTAAGGTCATCATCTGACATTGCGAAAAACATTCCTAATTCCGGGGTATAGATTGACAGTTGAACATGTTTTCCATGGGGTCCCTTGATGCAAATTGACGTATTTGTCAAGTCATCTAACAGGTCAAAGCAACAACAAATGTCAGAAATCTAGTGTTTATCCCCAGAAATAAAATAGGATGGAACTATATAACTATTTCACAAACACTTTAGAGTGAGAGGAGACAAGGAACAGTAGATCTGTCCGTACTCTGTTAAGATCAAGGGACCTTCTACCGGGTAAACTTTGTAGATTGAAGCCAGCTGGAGCCACTTTCCAAGCAAAGTGATCGGGCAGCTCGGTACAGTAGCGCCTGGGGAGTATGCTTGCCATACATTTCAAAATGGTGGAGGGAAGTGCAGCATTGCTAGTAATCGCGGCAAGTGCGGGTACAGCGACTAAATTCTCTTTTCATACTACCACAGTAACTACGACTCGTGGCGAAGTAGTAGACCGTTCGTTTCAATCCCACGTCGGCGACCCGGCTTCAATGCCTGCGATGGTCGGCTTTTTTCAAATTCTGTTTTTCAAGTGATTTTCCGAAGAATAAAATTTTCAGGAAGAAGGTTCATTTGGGTCGATTAAGGTTAGATGATTTGGAAACAGTAGTGTCCTTTTTTATGCAGGAAGAATATTTTCCTTCCTCCCTGAAAAAAATACAGTCTTTAGGAAGAAGGATCATTTAGGCCGATGATTAAGGTTTTCTGTTTCGGGTCAGGATCTTTTTCACTTCGTCAGCTGCTTATGATCTATAAGGCACAGATCCGACCTGTCCTGGAATACTGTTCCCATATTTGGAGTGCAGCACCCAAACATACCCTGAAACTGTTGGATTCTGTCCAAAAAACGGCAATTCGTCTCGTGGGTGATGCCTCGCTCACAAACTGACTCACTTCTCTGGAACACCGTAGAAAAGTTGGCGATCTGGCTCTGTATTATAGATTTTTTCGTGGACGATGCTCTTCTGAAATATCAACAATTGAACCTCCCTTGGCAGTCCCCGCGAGATTAACCCGTCGAGTTGAGGCTTCGCACCTCTTCGTGGTCACTTTGAGACCTGCAGAACATCTCTTTCCAAAGACTCGTTCATCCAACGAACAGCGAGGCTCTGGAACACATTGCCAAGGGAGTTGTTCCCCAAGGCATATAACCTCCAGAAATTCAAGAAGAACACCAATTCCTATCGTGTTTCTTTTGATTCTCACGATGTTTTTTGAACATTACAGGATATCGTTTTTCGTGGGAACCACAACATATGAAAAAAGATGGTTCGAAAAAAGTAGTCTCCTTTTAATGCAGGAGGGATATTTTTGTTCCTTCCTGAAAAAGGTACTTTGGAGGCATTCACTGTTGAGAAAAAGTTTTGACAACATTATTTTCTAGGGTAAAGGTTTCTTTTGGCCGAGTTAGATTTTGTTATTTCAAAGATTAGTCTCTTTCCACATCCATGTGAACTCATGAGAATGCAATTGTCTTCCTTTTGGGTAATCCTATCAGGTCAAGATCATTGAATTACTTTCTTCCCCAAGTCAGAGATTAGTCAACCACGTGGTTGACTAATCTCTGCCCAAGTTAAAGAAAATCAGCGCCATCCGGCAGCATTGATATGACTGACACGGGATTTCGAATATCCCACTCCCACCACTATTCCATTTTATGACGCGGAATCCGCAGACGCAAGTTGTGTCAAATGTGCGTGACACTGACAGTGAAAAATGTGAAACTTAACCTCGCTTTTTAAATCAAATTATTCAAATTCAAATATCAAAATATGGAAGAAGTATTTTGTTGAATTTTTGATGTCTGTGTCGATTAAAGTTAACGAAAAATAGACTATTTCGAAAAATAATTGAAGTAATATGTCATGTTTTAAAAATGTCAAACAAAAGGCTCTTGTTGTTCATGATTATTTTCCATTTATCTTCAGCACTGAGAACATATACCAAGGAAGATTTAGTTAAATTAAGGTACCATATCAAATAGATTTATCCTTTATACTACTCTTGCTGATAATACTTGATGTTGGTGATAATCAATGACAAAATACCAAGAGAAATACTTAATCTCAGAGCAAATAATACTAGAGATTCATGCCCTTTGGACTGGCACTGAGAAGTATATTCGGTAAAACTGCATTTATCATGCGATAGTTTTTTTTTCGAAAACTTTTTTTGGTACTTATACGTATTTTTGTCTGAAAAACACGAATTCGATAATGAAAATGTGAACAAACCACTATTTATCGAGATATTTCAAAAAAAAGTTCGAAATTTCGGCTCCTTTTTCCCCTTGCGTTGGATGCATTTTCAGGTACTTGCTCTTCTTATTTTGTCATTGGTCACTTTATATACTCATGATGTACTTCAATGACACATTTTCATACAGAAAATTCAACAGGAAATATGATTTTTATGGTGAGTTTTTCCTATTTAGTGAGCAAGCATACCAGATACCAGATGACGGCCATTTTATCCATAGGCAATCCAAATACGAGATGTCAAATGTCAATAGATTGCTTTGGAATGACATTACACACGCCATTATTTCAAATGATATTCTTCCTTCTTTTCAATAAATATGGATAAATCACAAGAAAATCATATTTCTAGTTGACTCAATAATAGAAAAAAATGTGTCTTACATTGTGATGTATATAAATTGTCCAATGATGAAAAAAGAAGGGTGAATTGTTTAAAATTCAATCCAGAAGACAGGTGGAAAAGAAGGTGAAATTTGAAACTTCATAGTGAAATATCTTGATAAATAATGGTTTGTTCACATTTTCATTATCAAATTCGTGTTTTTCAGACAAAAATACGTAAGTACCAATAAAAATTTTCGAAAAAAAACCCATCGCATGCTAAATGCAGTTTTACCATATATTCTCATTCAATATTTTTTTTTACCTACAGGGAAGAAGTGCGAGAAATGTTCTATCATGCATATAATAGCTATCTGAAATATGCTTATCCCTATGATGAACTAAGGCCACTTAGTTGTGATGGAATGGACACCTATGGAAGGTATTCAAATATATAAATGAACCATTGCAAATACTCATAGGTTTTTTGAGACATTCTCTGACATTCTGTTGTTTTTTTAGCTATTCTTTAACATTAATAGATGCCCTAGATACCCTAGCAATAATGGGAAACTATTCAGAATTCCAGAGAGTTGTAGATATATTGTCAACAAAAACTGATTTTGATGCTAATATCAATGTGTCTGTTTTTGAAACAAATATTCGTATTATAGGAGGACTCCTTAGTGCACATTTGATGTCAAATAAGTGAGTACCTACATATACTAGCATATTGTTTTTATAAATTTCCAATTTCCTTGAAAACATGGGTAGGTGTAGGTACATAATATGATATGGTTCCTGATGATTCACCTCATGGTTCACCTATGCTGTGATATGAACTTCATTACCTGAGACAACATGATTATTTATTTCTTGCATCTATATTCATCACTCCTGCTTATTTCAGTTTTAAACTGAAACTATCTAGGTAATTTATGAGAAAAAGTATTCATAGTGTTTCAGGGTCTTTATGAAACAATCATTATTCTTGAGTTACATTCCACAGAGTATATTGTGTATTCCACAAAGCTTACCCTATATTTATAAAGAGATCAGTCACAAGAAATTTATGTAAATGTGCATGTTTATATTTGAGGTGAGGTTACACTCTCTTCCTTTATAGTAGTTTTCCTAGGACTACTATTGTAAGTGGCTAATATTGTACACAAAACAATGTCACTAAGCTTTTCCTTAGGCACCTGTGCTTAAAGCAAGTGATCACATGATTTGATGATTTATGTAGGTATGTATCATGTATGTATGTTGATAGATGACTTTGTTTTGTTGCATTTTGTTGCTTGGGTGCAATTAAGGTGGTGCAATGTATCAATTTCAGTTAATGTCAGTAGCTAGGTACCTACCTACCTTTTCATCAGTACATTAGGTTATCAAGCTAAACCAAAAGCAAGGAACTAATAATTTTTGGGTATGATAATTTTGTGTTGATATTTGAGTTGAAAAATGTCAAGCTTTGAAAATGAGATTACTTCTCCACCACTGAAAATTCTGGAAAGAGCAGAAATGGCAACAGATGAGTTGTCTTAACTGGAAACTCAGGAAAAATATATGTCATTTTCTGAAGATATTCCAATACTTTCAAAAACTGCACAGTGATATATGAATAATCATTATAAATGTTTATTTTATATGTTCATCAAATGAGTTTTTTATCATCAGTGAAGTTGTTGAGCTATGAAATACGGCTTCATTTTAGTTGAAATTGAGGAAAATGGCTCATTATGCAATTTACTAATAAACAATAAATACAAGAATTGTAATTTTTACCTTTTCATGCAGTGAGCTCAAAGTGATAGAAGACATATTCCATATTTGTGTCTTAACACAATATCTATACTATCCTGATGGAAGTATAGTGTAGTCTGAGGGGTAAACTGCTGTAGAATTCTGGTGTTCAAACAAATGGAATTCCGAATTTCCTTAGAATTCCTTGGTATTCCTTGGATTTCCTTTGAATTCCTTGGATTTCTTTGGAATTCTTTGGATTTTCTTGGAATTCCTTTGATTTCCTTGGAATTCCTTGTATTTCCTTGGGATTCTTTGGATTTCCTTAGAATTCCTTGGATCTCCTGGGTTTTCCTTGGAATTACTTGTATTTTCATGTAATTCCTTGGATTTTCTTGAATTTCCTTGGTTTTCCTTGGAATTCCTTGCGTTTCCTTGTAATTCCTTGGATTTCTTTGAAATCACCTGGAATTCCTTGGGTGAAGTGCGGTATTTTTCTGGTCTACATACAACTGGAATTCCTCGGATTTTCTTGGAATTCCTTGGATTTCCTTGGAATTCCTTTTATTTCCTTGGAGTTCCTTAGATTTATTTGGAATTCCTTTGATTTTTTTGGATTTTCTTTGATTTTGTTGGATTTACTTCGAATTTCATTAAATTCTTTGGAGTTTCTTGGAATTCTTTGTGTGAAGTGCGGTACAATTCTGGTGTACAAACAACTGGAATTCCTTGGAACTCCTTGTGAAATTGAAGTTTGATGTACACAATTTTGACCGCGGTTCACTCCTCGGTGTAGTCACAGAAAAAGTATGGTACATTTCTCGAGTTGTAAAGCAATTACGCACTTGTGGAGTTACACTCTCTCTCCACTTCCTGCGTAATATGCGTTTTACAACCCGTGTTACGTAATATACTATTTTCTACTAGCATGCGGAGAAAACCGTTCACGAACATAATAGGAATTTCCATTCGTGATAAACAATTTATTATTAATAATAATGATATTAACAAAACTACTCTTCCTTACTAGAATGAGAGCGGAAAAGTTTTTTCCTCACTAAAATGAGTGCGAAAATAGCTATTTGTGCGAGTATTTGTGTATTTAGAGCGCAAAGTGATAGATTGCCGCTCCACAAAGAGTTACGGTAATCTCAGTGTTTGCGGTTTCGAAAATCGAAAACCCGTCTATAGCTTCGTTGAAGAAGGTCACTGCGTTGAATGAATTTGAATTTGAATAACATTGTAAGAAAAACAATGAGAGAAACTCCCAAAGAAATCTCGAGCTCGGACAGTATTAAAATCACTCTCTTATTGTTCTTATTTTCAAATCACATATTATGTCAATTACAACAAAATGAGAACATGAAACTGAATAATTCATAATATAACAATGTGATAAAGTTGTTGTCAATCTGGAAGATATCTAATTTTCAATTTAAAGGCATTTGACCTCCCAAAAAAAGTCTGTCTGCGGCAAATTTTTTACCGTTAAATTTTTCTTCTCCCTTTCTTGACACCCTCTTGGTATGTACTGAAATGGCGCCCTGCTTCTCGAGAAGCCCCAAAACTCATTTTATTGTCAATTTTTATGGTACTTAGTCTATGAAAGGACATTATTTATTTCAGACCAGCTGAACAAAATTTAGAGCACTTCCCGGACGGTTACCGAAAAATATTTTTCCTGTTGAATATTCAACACATACTTTTATCATTATATTTTCTACTTCTGTTTAGTTTGCCTAACCATAAAAGCGTGTTTTCTTAGTTTTTCAAACAAATTTTTATTTTCTACCAGTAGCCTATCTCTAGTTTTCTAAACTACTATTTATTTCCTACTTTTTTTTAGTTTGGCTATCTTGAAATCGTGATTTATTAGTTTTTCGAAACACCATTTATACATATTGAATCCGCCATCTCGAATATACTAATTATGACGGAGGAATCATAATCTCCGACCTCAAAAACCCTCAGATACTAATTTTGAATAGAATCGTTCGCTATATTGGATCCGTCATCTTCAATTTTCAAATTTTGAGGAAATAATTATTGTATTTTTATAGAAACAACCAAAAAATTATTTGAAGAAGTGACGCCTATACATCCTATACCAGAGTATATACCCTTTTTCCGAAAGGGTGTATATTTTGCCGATACTCACTATTCAGATATCTATCATTAAAGTAAGTAGTTCGAACCGGCTGAAGTTATTTAGTACCTGAATGTCCCAATAATTCTAATTGGTTATGGGCCCAAGTACACTCACATTAGGTAAAAATCGTGGTAGTGATATTCTAGTACGAAAACTATTATACCTTAGACTATAGAGGTATTGAAGAAATAACTTTTCATCAAATTTCGTGAAAAACATGTTTTTGTAAAAGATGAAAATGAGAAGCCAAACACTTGGTTATTTGAATTTATCACATAAATTTTGAGGTAAGGTATGTGAGAAAAGTATGGATATGAAAGTATGATATATTTTTATAACCTACAACTTTGCTATTCAATAATCGAGGTAAACCGTTTTCACCCTTGAAAACTCACTCCCTACCACTTCCCGGCCTCAGCTCTCCCGTAATTTATTTTCCCTTTCGTTATATCCTCTTTCTTCCCCAATGGGTTTCATCCTACTACAATCTTTTTCCACATTTTACTGTGTTCAAACTCTTCAGATGCTTCAGTACTGGCTTTCCGAGCTTACGACGATGAGTATGATTTGTAGGGTCGGAATGAAACTAGAACCCGGCTGGCCATGCAACGGCCCACTTCTGAGGCTGGCAGAAGACGTGGCAAAACGATTAGTGGCGGCTTTCGACACGAAAACCGGCATGCCTTACGGAACTGTCAATTTGCACAGCGGCGTGCCGAAGGGCGAGACGACCGTCACGTGCACGGCCGGGGTCGGGACGTTTATCGTCGAGTTCGGGGCTCTGAGCAGGCTTACAGGAGATCCCTTGTATGAGGAGGTAATCTATTTATTCATCTATTTCAACGGTTTCACCATTTTTATAGAAATAAAACAAAAGATGAGTAATAATAATAATAATAATAGCAGCAACGAAAATGTATACTCAATAGTAATACTATAAGTAAATAAAATCGTAGAAACCATCCATATTTCTCAAAGTGGTCCAATTGAATTTTAGAAGAAATGGCAATAAAAGTCACAAAGTCTGGCGACTACGAAACTATTTTGACATTGACTGGTGTCACTCGTTGGTTGGTTGCTACCCCGGCAATACAGATTATTATTATTTTTTGTAAACATACCTTTGAAGACATCCATTTCGATGCTTGGTATCACTATCAGCCATAACCGTTCTTGGGAAAATCACGTGAGATCAATTGCTAAAAGTGCATCCCAAAAACTTGGTTTTTTGTTTCGGGACAGGAGCTATTTCACTTCCAGTCAGCTGCTTATGATCTAACGGGTGTTTTTTTAGAGGTTTGTTTTTCAAATTATCAACACTCTGTCTGGTGAGAGTCAATTTGACAGTTGTTCGCGAAACTTACCGTGCGCTACGTCCATTTTATGGTCGACATAATCGTCCATCCGAACGAGCATTTTCTTATTGAAGATACACAGCAGAGACATCGCACAGTACGCACCGAAGAAGTAATCGCTGCTGTGGAGCGTAGTGTTGAGGAGGACCCGAATAAGTCGATTCGTCATCGTGCGCAGCAATTAGAATTATGCCCATCAACTTTATGGAAGATTAGTTTTTGTGGGGATATGTTAAGTCGCGAGTCTATGCTGATATTCCACAAGATTAAGACCACTTGGAAGACAATATTACCCGCGTTATTGCCGATATACGGCCTCAGCTGCTCGAAAAAGTAATCGAAAATCGGACTTCCAGGTTGCGCTTCATTCGAGTCAGCCGTGGCGCCCATATGCCACAAATTATTTTCAAACACTAATGGCATGAAACTACCTTTTCAATGAAGCTAATACAATGGCCATGACTACGATTTTATTGTGTTTCATTCAATTTTGAAGTTCTATATCTCTAGAAAAAACACCCGTTATAAGGCACAGATCCGACCTGTCCTGAAACTGTTGGATTCTGTCCAAAAAAGGGCAATTCGTCTCGTGGGAGATGCCTCGCTCACGAACTCACTCACTTCTCTGGAACACCGTAGACAAGTTGGCGATCTGGCACTATTTTATAGATATTTTCATGGACGACCCTCTTCTGAAATATCAACAAGTGTTTCTCCATTGGCAGTCCCCGCGAGATTCACCCGTCGAGTTGAAGCGCTTCGCACCCTTTCGTGGTCACTTTGGAGACCTGCAGAACATCTCTTTCCAAAGATTCGTTTATCCAACGAACAGCGAGGCACTGAAACACAATACCAAGGGAGGTGTTCCCCGAGGCATATAACCTCCAAAAATATAAGAAGAACACCAATTCCTACCTTATTTCCCTTGGTTCTCACGATGTTCTCTGAACATTAAAGGATATTCCTTTTCGTGAGAAACAGAACATAAAAAAATGTAACAATCATTAAATTCGTTTCTACTTTCGGCAGTTGTTGATATTTCAATGTTAACGATTATTAGGTGGCTATGAATGCCCTATACTCCCTCTTCAACCACAAATCCCAGCTGGGGCTGTACGGCAACCACATCGATATCGATTCCGGGCGATGGACGGCCCAGGACGCCGGCATTGGTTCCGGAGTTGACTCCTTCTTCGAGTACCTCGTCAAGGTAAGAATGGGCTAGTGAATTGATTTACTATGCTAAATGATCTATTAAACACGGTATGACGATCTGTGATACATTCAAAAAATTGAACACGTTACCATGTCAACACAATTTCTCAACACATTGCGTGCCATGTCTCTCATATATGAGAGACAGATATTATACTCTATCAGTGCGTGTCTCTCACAAATGTATTATGCTGCCATACATTTTAAATGGGGAATGTAGAGAGTGGCCCCTGGAGAAAACCATGTGAATCTTGGTTTGAGCAAAATTGAAAACAAAGACTTTATAGTACAAAAAGTCAAAACTATTATATTTCCGTACAAAATGAGGTAAAAAATCAAACCAAACATTAAACTAATATATCTCATTGAAACATGTCAAACAAATTTGTGGATGATACGATGAAGTAGATGCTTTTTGCCGTTTCAGTCCTTTGTGGTTTGTCCGAATTCTTCAAATCAAGTAGGTCTGCGGCTGATATATCTTGAAATGCTCGTATCGAGATTTTCTTTTGGTGACCTGCTTATAGAGAATCCAAGAAACAACTGAAAATACTGAAGAAACCGTCGCTCATATTTGAATCACCTAGCCTCCAGTGATAAATTTGCGTTTTTTTCTGCTACAGGGCCACGTCTTTCATAAATGAGTGACACAACGAAACCAAAAAAATATAACCAAAAACTACAAAAAAACACGTATCAAACAAACCTTAATTTCAATATAAAATACTCACAAATATTAGAAAACTGTGGTTTGGCCCTCATAGCCAATCCCCAATCACGGCTTGGCACGCAATGTGTTGAACGCATTTCCATGGCAACACCTTTCTTTTAAACACACCTTCAGTCGTTTGAGTCGTATCCGGCCTGTCAATTGTCGAATTTTGTTGCAATCGGTGACAAACAGAATTATTCAAATACCGACCAGATTTTTTCCCTCGTGGGTTTATATACGTCAGCCAATGTTGTTGTAAAGGGATCCATCCTGCTGCAGAGGCCTGAACTGATGGAGATGTTCTACGAGTCCAAAAAGGCCATCGACAAGTACATGAAAAAGGACGACTGGTACATGTGGGTGTCGATGACGAAGGGACAGGTAACGTTACCGGTGTTCCAAAGTTTGGAGGCTTATTGGCCCGGAGTTTTGAGTTTAATAGGTGAGTTTTGGTGCAGATAAATAATGCAATTGATCTAGAGATCTCTACTAATATTAGCTAAGAATATGAACACCTAGTCCATATAACTCCACAAGATAGCAGATGGCGCTGCCTTTGAAGGCGAATTGAGAATATGGTGTCTATTTTGCAATCGTAGCCATTGCGTCATGTTAATGACTGTATTTCCCTCTGAGTTTGTGATGAAATCGGCCTTTCATCAATGAAAACACTACCTTAAATCACTTTATAAGTCACAACATTAGACGGGTGCAATATGTCTTTCAATGTTGAATAATGAAAGCGAAGGTCAACGTTTACCTATGGCATCCTATGGTTTCTAACGCTGTCTTCTTATCGGAATAGACTTTGGGACTTCTAAGCTCGACATTTACTTATTAGCAATCCAAAATTTGGTACAATACAATTACAATGATATTCATATTTTTAAAATAATCCAGCAACATAATTACATAGATATAATAACAATCATCATAGAAAGTTCACTTATTTTGTTAGTAGTACAATATCGATGAATATAGAAGTTGTAATTCAAGATAACTAGGAATCAACTCTGCTGCATCATCAAATTTACATGTCTAACAAGCCTATTCAGTAAAAAGTTGTTATTTTACGAGTCGTTAGATAACAACTATCGTTATCCTAATATGTAACGACAATTCGAACGACTTAATGAAAAAATGCATTCTGTAACATATGTCGTTGAAATATTCGAAAATTAACAAGAAGTATATATTTTCAGAAAAGATAGTATGACATTATGTGACATTATTTGTCATAAATTGACAAATCGGTATGTATATCATATAGATCAGATATCTTCTACCTAGTCTTCTACTATAATAAGTAGAGAAAATCATTTTTCTAGGGGAAGTAGGATTGCTTACACTGGAGTGCTCAAATATTCAAACAGTGATTCGTTATTATTTGCATATATGTGGAGGAACTGCAGGGATATAAATAATTTCTATCAAATCAATATGAACCCACAAACCCCAATATCCTAGAAGGAAGGAGTGATTTGGTTCTATGATTGAATAGTTCCAGAGCCCCAATGAGGGATGAAAAGCAATGGAGAAAAGTACCCATTTTTAACATATACAATATCTTGAAGATTTGATACAGTGAGGTAATTGTCTACAAGTATGTTTGATATTTCATAGATACATCTGCTTGGGACATAGCCAATGATTTGTCTCTTTCTATAGATTTTTGGTAACAGATGAGTACATCAGTAAGTAGGTACTTTCCGATTATATTTTCAACAACTGATGGTATATACTAGTATTCCTACTGGCCTCCTTGGGACACTGCAACATATTATGAGAGAATACCCCCCAAACTATAGCTCTCTGGGTAACCGACAATCCTCCCGAAAGTTTCCTTCATAGGACTTCCGAAAGGTTTACTAGCGTCCCTCAAGCGTCTATTAGAATTTTTATTCACTTGTCTGAATCGAAATAAACGGTAAATATCAACAAATATTCATATTCAACTCCTCTGAAACCCTTCTGAGAATTTGAAAAGACTGACTGGATCCATCTCCAACAGAAAACCGATGGATGAGAGGATATTATGCGTTCATTGTTTTTGTGTTCATGTTATCCTACCGATACTCTGAATAGCTATCGTCTATAAACGATGTTCTGATGACAGCTTATCGTTCGTTACCGACTGTCTAATCGGTAGTGAATTCGATTCAGAAAAATTATCGTCATTTAACGATATGCCATCCACTAACGACACGTAACGATAACGTTATGAGAATAGGCCTGTAAGTATGATGAAAGTCGTTACATCAGAAATATCACTGTCACTGCTGTTATGTGCAATGTAGAGCTGATCAGGTAGTAACTGCTATGGGAGATGAGGACGTCAGGTGATTGAAGCTTATGAAGAAGCAGGAAACGTATCGAATAATATATCGATTATGCGGCGAGGGAGTAGAAACAGTGTCACTTATACTGTGTGAAGGCTTTGAATCATGAAACATAATATTTTGTTAACTCATCCGCGATACCAAACTATACAGGCCACAGGGCACACTCTACAAAATGCTGACACACACTTATACACCACATACACATAACTGAAGTGGGTTCGCTAAGACCTAATTCACCGTTAGGTTTAAATGAACCTTGAAAAAATAAGGGGTGTTTAGTGGGCTTAGTTACGTCGAAAGAGTCATCGAATGCCGTGGTCACAGGTCAGTCGAATATCTTGCTACATCTGGAGTACCTCAAGGGTCGAAGCTCGGTTCTCTATTATTTAACATATTCATTAACGACATACTCGACGGCATTGAAGTTAATGGCTTGCTATATGCTGACGATATGAACATATTCCACAGAATTTAAGATACAAACCATTGTCAATTATAATAATATAATAATAATAATAACTTTTTATTCACACAAAAAATAACTACAAGAAAAATGTACCACAAGATGAGTACTGTTGTGAATAAAATATACTCGATAAGTGATAATTCACTTGTTTCGAGATAGATAATAATAACTAATACTAATTCAATAGCGTTTCGAATAGTTTACCTATAGATATAATAATGACAATAACGAAAAAAAAATAAATAAATACAAAAAAAAAAAAACGAAAAACGAATGAGACAGTACAAAAGTATTAAAAGTAATTGCTATAAATTGAAATACAAATTGAGAAGAAATGCATAATACACTTGGACCTTGATACAATGATCAATTAAAATAATTATTTATCATACTTCGGGGATTTATTAAGATAAACTCCCTAAGGTTCTTTTTGAAAGATGATATATGTGGGATGTTCTTTATATTTTCCGGTATCGTATTGTATAGTTTTGGTGCAAAATAAGAGTATGATCGTTGGGAAGTAGTTTTGAGCATCAATGGTGTTACGTAATGATGTTTTTGACGAGTGTTGTGATCATGACGTGGAAGCTGTGAACATTTTCTATTCACGTGGTACTTGTTGCCTACGCAAAAGAAATAGAGCTGTCTCAAATCTAGTATCTTCGATTCTTCGTAAAGGGCGTTAGTTGGGTACCTGGGATTTTTAGCGAATACTAACTTTAAAAATCTTCTTTGGGTAACTTCTAAGGAATGTATGTGTGTTTTCAGACTTGCTCCCCATACAATTATGGCATATCTGAGATGGCTTTCAACTAATGAGAAGTATAAGGTCTTCAGATGCTCAAGCGGTAAAATATCTTTCAATTTTCGAAATTTAAATAAAATACTACGTAGCTTATTCGTTACATATGATATATGGAAATTCCATTTCAAATGTGAATCGATTATCACTCCTAAATATTTGATTTTTCTGTCCGGTAGAATGTAGAACCTGTCTTCACCAATGCTAATTTCCAATTGGTTGAAGGAAGGGGTATCTGTCGAATTGCAGCAGAAAGGCAAATACAGTGTTTTTTCAAAGTTTACTGTTAATAGCTTGCTATCTAGATACTTCTTTATATTTGAAAAATCTTTTTCAGCATCAGATTTCAATTTTGTCCAATTTTCTGAGCTATAAAAAATAGCTGTATCATCTGCAAAACCAATCATGCTACCTTTGCTCCCTAACGAGAATAGGCCGTTAATATATATATATAACAAGATAACTTAGCTAGAATTAAAGAATGGTGTATTTCCAATAAGTTATTTCTCAATCCCGGAAAGTGCTGTGTGATGTCCTTCACTTTGAAATCTTGTGTCATGTTCAACTATACCATTGATAATACTGACTTACAGAGAGCAGAGGCATTTGAGGATCTGGGAGTAATATTTGATCCAAAACTTTCATTTGTAACTCACATCGAACAAATATCGTCAGCTGCCAGCAAATCCTATGGTTGTATAGTTTGATACTCCAGAAATTTCAAAGATACTGAGTCTGAATTATGCATTTGTCCGATCGAAGCTGGAATATGCTTCGGTAATTTGGAGTCCTCATAATAAAACTCACATTGACAGCCTTGCATCGATTCAGTGGCGCTTTTTGAAACTACTTTCTTTCAAAATAGATGGAGAATATCCAGAAATTGGCGTTCCAAACTCGAAGAGACTACCATTCAAAAGTAATCCTTTTCAAAACAATCAATAACCTATGTGATTTTCATTATTCGACGCAAAGAATTCAATTTCACGTTCCAAGAATGGCATCCCGAGTGAATCGAATCTTTTACTTGCCAACTCCACGCACGATCATATGTATAAACTCTCCAGTTCAAAGAATCTGTGATAATTATAATGATCATTGCACAGCTTTTGGCATTTTTCATACAACAATCCAGCAGATTAGATCTTTCTTTCTTGTATAAGGTAATAGTTGTTCCTCCTCCTCCTCCTTGTTTACTCATATTCCAATATTTCTTAGTTTGTAATTGGAATTATTCTGTGAACTAAGTGAATAAATAGATAAGAGAGTTGCTCACACTTGACCATGTAGGGTCATGAAACTCACACAGGGTGCCCATAAATTATTTCAGTCACCTCAAAACTCGGTTGTTTAGATAAAATTAGTATACTGTGCAACAAATGAGATAAGTACTTGTTCCCACATGTTGCGCATCATACATTTTCTACAACTGCACAAATTTGAAGAATACAAGTAATGTACCTTATTGATATTCATGTTATATTGTGGCACTTCGCAACATTGAATATTTCGACCAAGGGGTAGACGCCTTTCTTAGTTCCTCAAAAGTATACCAGAACGGTACACTTTTCCAAAAAGATGTTATTTTTTTATTGTTTTCTACATTCCATAAATGTTTCGTATGCTAATTCATACTTTTTTCTTGAAATTCTCGAGAACAAATCTAACTTTTGCAGCTTCTTCCATTAAGTATCTTGTCATTAAATCGTTACTACTCTGTATATTCATATTATTTATTATGCATTGTTGGAATAATATTTAATGATAATTGCGATATTCATCAAAGAACTCATGAAAACTACCCCAAGAATTAGTTACTCTCAAAAGGTCCTTCCATTTGATACCCATATTGAAGTGCATTAAAAATAACTATTTCGCCATCTTGGATGGTCCGCCATATTGTATTCTGAATGACGTCACATTTTTTTTTTCGAGTTACTCTCAACGAGCCCTTTTATTTGATACCCATGATGTAGAAGTGCATTAAAAATAACTCCGTCATCTTTGATGGTCCGCCATATTGAATTCAGAATGACGTCACATTATTTTTTGAGTTGCTTTCAACGAGCACTTTCATCTGATACCCATATTGTAGAACTGCAATAAAAATAACTATTCCGCTATCTTGGATAGTTTGACATATTGGATTTAGAATAACTTCACACACCTTATCGTGCATTGTCATCCAAACTCAACGTGTATACAGTTTCAATTACAATTTCAGCTCAAACGGTTGAGGATATCTACTTCAAAATTGAGTTCAAAGATTCCACCCGAACTAACATACATCCATCCATTGCAAGTTGAATAAAAGCTTTTAATCAAAAAATACGCTGCTTTTCATAGCAGTTGTACAAAAACACTTTTAAGACATAAAGTGGAAATGGAGTCTATCTCGCAGGTATGTAATGCAATGTCGAATTTGACTTGTTTTAGGAGAAACATCTAGTGCCATGCGCACATTGCACAACTACCATCAAGTGTGGCAGCAATACGGATTCACTCCAGAATTCTTTTACATTCCCCAGAACGAGGCGGGCAGTCACAAAGAGAGCTACCCATTGCGACCCGAGCTTATAGAGTCGATCATGTATCTGTACCGGGCAACAGAAGATCCTTTTCTTCTGCAAGCCGGCGAAGATATCCTGAGGAGTATCCAGCACAGTGCGAAAACTCCGTGCGGATATGCAACAGTGAGGATATTTCATTACCTACTTCTCAAAATCAATTTGCGATTGCGGAACATGGAGGATATCTATTTATTTTATTACTAGCTTCTACCCGCGACTTCGCTCGGGTTCAAGTCCTTAAATAAACATCAAAGATCATTAAATCCCAATAGAACTGAATCAATGGGATTCAGTATTTGAAAATTTCGACATGTAATGAAGTTTCAAACACTGAAAAAATGCTTCATTGAAATAATTTACTACAACAAAAGTTAAAATGTATTTCACTATAACAGAATAGGTTATTTGTTGCGCCCTGTCTATAGATGGATCTGCAGCTAGTATTGCATCGTGCATTTCGGTTGTGTGGAAGACTAAAACGTCAATGTCAAGTCACTAAATAGCAAATAATCTGAAGGGTATATCTCATGCAGTAATGAATTTGCGCCTTCGAAGTGCCCATCAGGTTACAAATTTGTCATTTTCATCTCATTATCTAAATAATCCGAAACTTACTAGTGCCAAAAGACGTAGTCTAATAATTAATATCTAAGGTACCGACCAATAGAGTTTCATGTCTGATTCTTGGATACGAACTGGACATTTCTTGCTCCAACTGACTTTGAAAATCATGAATAGAAACGAATCAAAGAATCAGAACACTGATATCAATGATTATTGAACGTTATCATCATGAAATCACTACTGACGAACCTAACACCACTAAAAAAGATACGTCACTTTGTAAATTTATTGGTTTGTGTCTCTGTATTGCGTTTCCCACCTTGGAAGGGCTGAAGACCGCCTACGATGCAGTCGGGTCTTCAAGAATTTCATGTTAGGATTGTAGAGAGTACAGAATAAGCTACAGAGTCTGATGCTTCTGACGACTTTTACCAAATTCAATAAAAATATATCATCTTGAGCCTTCTATAAATTATACAGTCCCCTTATTTTCAATCAAATAATATCACTCCTACAAATATCAGTTGACAAACAAAAAATTGTTTCACAACATAACATCATTGTAGAATTATTTAATCTACAACAACACAAGAAAAAACTACCAAAGTCGCGATATATCACCAGATTACATATACTTGAAGGCATCGCGACACCCCAATCAGACTGATGAGCCGTCCATCTACTACTGTTCAACTTTGAGCAACATGGATTTCTATTAGAAATAAAAATAGTTTGTCTATGGATAAGTTGTTGTTTAGAGTTCCTGAAAACTATATGACAGCAGAAAATCGAAAAGCGACCGATTTGTATTGATACAATTTCAGCATTTGGGTTGGTAGCAATGTTCGCTTGTTTACGGCTCGATTTGACATGTGAAAGTTGTCAATCATTCAGCTAGTTGTGGAAAAATTTCAACCATATGTTTCCTTCAAAATGTCCGATTTTTTCTTTCTCTATTTGACAGATCAAAGACGTGAGGGACCACAGGAAAGAAGACAGGATGGAATCATTTTTTCTATCGGAAACAACCAAATATCTCTACCTCCTTTTCGACACAGACAATTTCATTCATAATCAAGGCCAATCTGGCACTATCATCGATACGCCTAACGGAGAATGTGTCATTGATGCAGGAGGGTATATTTTCAACACTGAAGCTCATCCTATCGACCCTAGCGCCCTGCATTGTTGCCACAGCGTTTCAAACAAAAACATTTTTGATTTGAAGGAGATCGAGAAAAATAAAGCTCTGTTCATGGGCGAAGGAATCAAAGAAAAAAAGATACCTGTCGAACCATGTCAACAGCAAAATGAGTTTGACGATCCCAAAGAAGACGATGAAGTCCTCACCATAACTACAGAATCTGCTAACAGTTATGTCAAACTAGAAGATAATGATAGTATTAGCCAAAAGATCCTCGTTTCTGATGAGGATTATCAAGACAATGCATCTTATCTCGATGACACTGAAGAAATGTCATTCCCGAAGCTCTTGAACCAAATATTGGTGAAGGAAGAGAAGACATTCGATCCACAGGAGATGTTGGAGAAGTTTCGCACGGAAAACAAGTATCCGAGGAACTCAACGTGGGAAAATAATTTCAAGTTGTTGTCATGTAAAGGCCAGCCTTTCTTGCAGAGGTTATCTATACTGGGAGAATTTTTTACTAAATAAAGTTTTGGATGATTGAAACACTTGGTTTTTATTTTTGAAGGTGGAAAACATGATGATGTTTCACTTCCATATTGATGAAAGTAATATTGTTTTTCTACTGAATGACAAAGCATTCTTCGACGCTGTCAGATCTTAACACATTAGGTAAGTTTTCCATAAAATTCGTTCCATGGAGTATGAGCATTTAAGACCTGTCATGAACCTGAACCTACCTGTTTCGGCCAGGGTAGATGTTGCTCTAGTTCAGCAACTTAATTTTATGTTTTTAATGAAATGATAATGAATGGCTTACCAGATCATACTACCTCTATTACACTGGCCATTACTATTTTTATTTTTTCTGCTAAATATGAAACCTGAATAAACTATTTTCGACCGCTTCAGCACACTACACACCAATCTCGGAAATCACCACAATGACTATAATAACAATTAAGCCACCCTACTACTTTCTGGTTGGCCGGCTGTACCTATATATCCGTGTATTATTGTCAATGTAGGTACTTGATGTTTCCCGCGGAGAGGGAATGCATATTATTTTTACTGCTAAATGCGTCTGAAAATAAATAATAATCTAGAAGTTCCATACATTTTCATCATCAGAGATTTTTTTACGATGTTTTCCGGACTGCTGAAATTACACACATTACTAACCTACAATACTACTACTACAAATATTATGCTTCTATCATTTGGTCACCTTTTGTATCAAGTTCACAACTATAGGTACTCTCGAACGTATACAAAATAAATTCTCAAGATTCTGCGCTTTCAAGCTCAATGTTGTTATTGAAAACCATGATTATGATTTCGTACGTGGTGAAATGAATTTGCAGATTTTAAAAAATCGCAGAAAAACCACTGATATTTGTTTCATTTTTCAATTAATTAATGGAATGGTTATTGGTTGTCCAAAGTTGTTGGAGTTAATTAATTTCAATATACCAAACAGAAAATTTAGAAATGCTAACCTATTTAGAATATATATCTCATCATGCTACCAATTATGGTCAACACTCACCTATTGGGAGAACATTGAGATTAATTAATGAAAACGGTTTGGACATATTTCATGGGTCTTTTAATAGTTTCAAAAAACACTTGTTGAATCTGTACTTTGAGACATAGAGCTCTCTCATAAGTTAGATTTATCATATAGATAGATAGTGTAACAGAATATCCTCAGGGGGAGTTTCAGGTCGCGAAATAAGTAGTTTCGGAAAGTATGGGGTTTTATTTTGCCAATCACCCACCAACGTGGCTAAATATAATGTATATGAAATCTGGAAGATGTACATAAGGCACCATTAAAATACATGAAAAATATAAAGAGTAACTACTTTACCTGGCACTAAGTACGTCGGTGCAAAACAACACTTTATATAAAAGCAATATTCAACACGCTGTAACTAAGAGCTACCATCAATCACAAATGCTCACAAAATCAAAAAGTCGAGCTCGAACAAACGATACCAAGTGCGTTTTTTGCCTTAGCGCCACAAAAACAAGGGACGATATATTTAAAGTTTTCCAAATGAACATTCTTCCTCCATCTATTGGATTACCACGAAAGCAATAGCAAATCATAGGTAGGTAACTGGCACAAACACTGATTCCTCAGAAAATGCGATGCTTATACAGGGCGTTCTGCTTCATCAGCCCCCCCAAAGACCCATGACGAAAACGTGCAGGAAAAGGGTCTTTTAAACACTAAACCGGACACCGACGACTAACCATCGTCCGCGACATGAAAAGGTCTCAGATGGCTAGCGTGGAAAGTACCGCGTTCCACTCCATCTGTGTGTTCGAGAACATAGGTCGCGAAACTAACTGCCTTTTTTATTCGATAGGGCCCGGAAAACAAGAGCAACATCTTTTTTGTCTCCGAATTGAGGGCCGAGGATACCGGATTTGAGCGGAGGAGTACTAAGGCTCCGGGTTCAAATTTCGGATAGGGCCTTGACGGATAGGCCGTCGCGCGACGAGCTGCTTTACCCATCAAAGTCTCCCGTGCTAGAAAGAGCTTGCCTTCATTTAAAATATCTTGACCCTCGGTAGATGGCCCCCGGAACCGCAAAGGCAAGCAATGACTTTTTTCCCCGAAATGTAATTCCCTAGGCGTGAACCCCGTGGATTCGTGGACAACATTGTTCAGGAAATACTCAAAGTTTTTTACCTCAAAAGCCCAACGGGTATTTTGCGAATGACAGTAAACACGGCATAGCCTCCCTAATTCACGCATAACCCTTTCCGAACTATTAGCTTGGGGGTGACGTACCGAACAATAAGTTACTTCCACACCTAGAGAATTTAGAGTATTTTTCCAAGAAGCGGAAGTAAACTGGGTGCCATGATCTGATAATATTTTTTTAGGACGTCCTATTTTCGTAAAATAATCTAGAATTAACCGGTTCAGACAAGCGCGGGTGGTGGCCTTTTTAAGGGGGTACAAAGCCACGAACTTAGAAAAAGTATCTAGCACAACTAAAAGGAAAGTGGTCCCGCCCCTGCTCCTGGGCAAAGGTCCATAAAGATCAAGAGCCACGAATTCGCCTTTCGTTGTGGGAACGACCGGATGTATAGCAGGTTTTGGCATAGCGGTATATTTCGTTTTTTGGCATATTTCGCAAGTGCGTAATACCTTTTTGATGTCCGAATGCATATTTGACCACCACACTTCGCTTTTCAGAGAACACCACGTTTTGTAGACGCCAAAGTGTCCTATATGTTCGTGAAAATATTTACAAAACTTCGTGGTCAACGCTTTAGGTACGCAAAGTAAACAAGATTCGTCTAAAGCCTGTCTCAAATAAAGAAGTTCGTTATGCACGACAAAATGGGTCTGCAACTTTTCATCACCCGGTAAGTTGGATAGGATATCACCAAGTTTAACATCCTCTCGTTGATATTTTTTGAAATCTTTCAGTATTTTAAGGAACTCCGGAGCTAATTGGAAATTCGACAAAACTTTAAAACATTTATCCATAGGCGTAGGTACGCGCGACCCGCAAAACCTTGACAACGCATCCGAAATCAGATTTTCGGCCGCTGGCACGTACTTAAAGTCAAAGGTATACTCCTGCAGAGCGAGCGCCCAGCGCGTTATACGAGGGGATAATAGCCTACATTTATCCAAATAAGTCAGAGCACGGTGATCAGTGTATAACGTAAATTTTCGACCTAGTAAATAAACACGAAAACGTTCTAAGGCCCAAACAGCCCCTAATATTTCTTTTTCAGTGCCGCTATAACGCGTTTCTCGTGGTAGCAAGACTCTGCTAGCCCAAGCAACGACTTTTTTCTGTCCGCCTACCAACTGAAATAAATGCGCACCTAAGGCAGTGTCACTGTCATCCACCTGTACATGCCACTCGAGATCAGGGTACGGGTGATATAACATAGTGGCCTCGCTTAATAATTTTTTTACTTTTTCAAACGCATCTTGCTCACGACTTCCCCAACGCCACGCTACTGTTTTTCGTAATAAACACGTCAAAGGTTCAGAAACGCTAGCAAAATTTGGACAGAAAGGTCGATCGTAATTACATAACCCTAAGAATTTTTGTAACTCTTTCACATTTTTCGGAATTCGATAATCGGTTATAGCCTGAACGCGATCATAACTAGGTTCGACACCGTCTGGGGTTAAATTATACCCTACAAATTTTAATTGAGATCGGAAAAAACAACATTTCTTCAACTTTAATTTTAAACCTGCATCGTTGAGCGTGTCGAATACTTTTTTTAAATGCGCTAAATGTTCATCAAACGTATCAGACAATATAAGCAAATCATCGAGATAAGTAACCATAAAGTCTTTAAATTCGGGCCCGAAAATTAAACTTATGCACCGAACAAAAGCCGAAACCGCTGTAGAAATACCGAACGGCATCCTACAGAACTGGTAAGTTTTTCCCTCACTCATAAAGCCGGTATACTTCTTAGATTCCTCTGTTAGGGGGATTTGATAATATCCCATGGTCAAATCAAGAGTAGACATGAATTTACGCCCCGACATCGTCAACAAAATTTCCTCAATTGAGGGCGGCAACTCATAATCTTTCTGCATCAGTTTGTTGAGGTGGCGGGCATCCAGGCAAATTCGGACACTATTGTCTTTTTTGACCGTTGTCATAATTGGAGATACGTAGGGCGTAACTGCACGCTCGATGATTCCCCAGTTTTCCAAATCAATCAACGTTTTTTTCACGAGGTCGCGGTGAGCTATGGGCAAGGGGTAGGGCTTAATAAAAAACTCCTTATTTTCGGTTAACTTAATATCATGATAATACTTATCGGTTAACCCCGGTATATTCGAAAATACGGTTTTGTTTCGTTTTAGGAATTTCACGAAACATTCTGTTTGCTGACTGTTTAACCCCGTACATTGGGACACTACTTTAGAAAAATCATCTTCGTCAAACTCCGAACTAGACACGTGTGAAACTAACACCGATTTGTCAGATGGAATTAACCGGGCCTTAACGCTTTCCGATGATTCATACTCATGCAAAAAATGACTCTCTTTAATAATAATTTTTTTGTTATCTAAATGGCAAGTTAATCGTTCACCAACAAAATCAATATTTACCTTGAAAACTCTAAGGAAATCTACGCCCAAAATTACTGGGTATATTAGACCGCTAACCAAAAAAAACTCGTGCTCGAAAATATGACCTTCTGTTTTAAACAATAACCAGCACTGGTGATCGACCTTTTTTTGTTTACTTCTGAACGCACCTACGATTTTTACACCAGTGCACTTAAACGATGGAATAATATCGTGAAATTCACTCAATTGGGCCCAGACATCATCTGATAAACAGGATATTTGCGATCCACTATCTATCAACGCCGGATAAGATAAACCGAATATCGAAATTTCAATCTGAGGTAGCCGAAAATTTGAATTGACATGATCGAGTTCACAGTTTTCGTCAAGGTCTTCCCGGGGAGTTTTCAAGAATAAATTAGCCCTATTTAAGGTATTCCCCGCTCCTGGGCTTATTGGAGGGGGGTACATTCGTTTTCCGAATGTTCTTCTTCAACCTGCAGACTAGACACTTGTCTACGGTTTTTTTCACTTTCAGGTCTGAAAACAGTATTTGCTTCTTTTTTATGAAATGTTTTGTTATCAAAAGTATTTTTATGGTATGGTATCTGAAAATTTTGACCTGAAGCTGAACTATGAATTGAACTCTGTGATTTTCTATCAAAATAGTAATCCGCTTGTCTCAATTTTTCTAATGCATTTTGAAAATTTGTTGTTCCAATCAACGTTGACGAAACATTTGGTGGTAAATGTCTGGCAATAATTTGTATTAATAATTCCGGTTCGTATGGCGGATTCAAATGTTTGGCCAGGGAAACATAATAATTGAAATGGTCCACAAACGTGCCATCTCTCTCAGAATAACGAGCTGACTCTAATTTCAATTTTACCTCCAATTGCTTAGTGGCTCCCCAAAAATGATTGAGAAATCCAGTTTTGAATTCATTGTACGAAATGAATGTGGTTAAATAAGCATCAGCCCATAATTTTGCATTTTCTGTGAAAGATGAACTTACTAAAAAAACAAAATTCGCATATGGTACGTTCTGCACGTTGAACCCGCTTTCTAATAAATTCAAAAATTCTACTGGGTGAACACACTTGTTATCAAAAATTGGTACATTTTTCGAAATTTCACTGAAAGGCCTATCAATTGTTCTATTATTTCGGTTGCTATTAGATGGATCCTCATTAGAAATCCTCTGGTTCTGCATTTGTTGAACAACTTCAGCAACAAGCCTGGTTATGCCTTGTGAAGTGAATAGAGGCATGGCAGGACCACCAGTGGGGTGAAAAACTGGAGGTGGTGGCCCATTTGTGGACGTAGATGCCGCTGGGGGTGCAGCATGACTAGCAATGTTATGTCGAAACCCATTTGGGGGCGGAGCCGAATAAGGAAAATATACTGGCCTACCTTGTTCACTGAAGGGTGTGGAGGGAGGAGGTGGTACCTCTGGAATTTTCTGGGGTATTCCACCAAGATTTTGCCCTTCATTTCTTAACTGTTCCACTCGTTGTCCGGAACTGTTGAATATAGTTGCCCTTCGTCTTAAATTATAGCCGTTTGAGCCTGGGGTGTTAGGCTGTGATTCGTTCATAATTTCCAATTTTTTTCGCTACCACTGTGGGCGCCAGATGTAACAGAATATCCTCAGGGGGAGTTTCAGGTCGCGAAATAAGTAGTTTCGGAAAGTATGGGGTTTTATTTTGCCAATCACCCACCAACGTGGCTAAATATAATGTATATGAAATCTGGAAGATGTACATAAGGCACCATTAAAATACATGAAAAATATAAAGAGTAACTACTTTACCTGGCACTAAGTCGGTGCAAAACAACACTTTATATAAAAGCAATATTCAACACGCTGTAACTAAGAGCTACCATCAATCACAAATGCTCACAAAATCAAAAAGTCGAGCTCGAACAAACGATACCAAGTGCGTTTTTTGCCTTAGCGCCACAAAAACAAATGACGATATATTTAAAGTTTTCCAAATGAACATTCTTCCTCCATCTATTGGATTACCACGAAAGCAATAGCAAATCATAGGTAGGTAACTGGCACAAACACTGATTCCTCAGAAAATGCGATGCTTATACAGGGCGTTCTGCTTCAATAGTATTCATAATATTTACCTTTTGTTTTTTTTTCTGTAATGGGGTTTCCCGTAAATAAATAAATAAAATAATAAATAAATAAATAAATATTCATGTTATACTTAGAAATTATTGCCGCTCAGGAGCACTGATGGTAAATCAGTACTAATTTTCATATTTGTTGAATGTTGAATTGAGAAGTATTGAGAAATTGCAATTTCAAAAATTACCAGTCACTTTTACTGCAAACATGAACAAGAACATCAAGTATTCATTTCAAACTATTCGAAACTATTATTTTTTCTTTCAGTTGGTATACATTTCAACATAAACAGTTAACACAGATTGATCCCAGAGATATAAAAGGACATCACATTCATGCCACACATCACATCCGTGACTCGAAATGAGAGTCCCACTGAAATCACAATGATCGCTATTCTGGACCCTTTTGGTCATATTTTATGATTCACATTATGATGCCAAATAAAACTCACAGTACGTATTAAGTGACTACATTCAGCATCAAAATTAATTGATTCCGTTTGTTACATAAATAGTCAAGAATGTGAGGTCCAGTGAGTCCCTTGGTTGTTAGGGAGCCTCACAAATTCCCCTACATTTTAAGTCTCGAATCCAATGAAAGGTGACGAATATTACGAATGTTTTGTAAAACAAAGAGTCCCCTCTGGCAATACCAATGATGTTTTTTTTGTAATTCGCAATTTTACTTAACGCGACATGAATGTGACATCAAAGGAATGTTTGTTTTTACTCTGGGGCATCTGATGGGGTACACAGTTAACACAGTTTGATCCCAGAGATATAAGAGCAAGGCATCACTTTCATGCCACACATCACATCCCTGACTGTTATTCCGGACCCTTTTGGTCATTTTATAATTAACATCATTTTCTTTGGAAAGAGCACTAGGTATCTCATAAATACCTACTCTCAAAATTGTTTTTGATATTATCAACAAACACCTCAAATCAAACTTCATATTGGTAAGGAATTCTCAAATCCATGAACATCATACTAGACAATTAATATGACTTTGTTTCATCTTGATGCTGCTAATTCTACACTTGGTTAAAAAAAGTTCACTCACGTGAGTGCAACTCCGTACGGAGTTGCACAAATATCACCCAATTCGAAATTGAAGTCAAGAAACATATCCTTATGAACTTATCATAAGCTTTTTGTTCCCCAATTATTTTTTTTTTAAATCTGTTGTTTATTTCAATAACTATAATTTAATTTAATAAACGCATGAATAATCTCATACCAGTAATGAATGTGTCTGATTATTCTGCTTTTCTGTTATAGTTACCATTTTAAAGAATGAATGAACGACGGAACTATTTCTACAGCTAATAACACATCTATATTTCAGCGACCCTACATTTTTTCCACCGACAATATTAGATTACTATTTTCACTATTAAAAAACTCATGTAAATGGAAAAATCTCTTTATTGGCATGCACTTAAGTCCACCATTACAATATACATATATATGTTATATATACTCTGAAAAGTTGAATACTTACCTACCTATCTATACCAATTTATCAGAAATCATCTTGGTAAAAAGTAGCCAAGAATTCGAGAGAGGTTGAATCATATTGCTCCGATTTGAAATTCTGTTATGTTACAATTTGTGAAGTTGTAGATAATTCTTTTGAAATTTCCGACCAAGATAATATTTGATGTCAAGGTCATATTATGTAACTAATTCATTTACTGATCAATGATCCTCATTTTTTTCTTATTACAATGAAGTATCAATATCTCGAAGATGAAACAATAGGTATATTGATCATAAATATCAGGTACAATACACAGCAAATACCTAGCATTAAATACCTAAAATAAAATTGAAAAAAAAATCGTTAAAGTAATTTTTGACACCTCGTATTTGACACAAAGTTGTTTTGAATGAGCATTATTGTTCCTTGTCTTCTTCTTATATATCTATACTAAACAAAAAATTCTTCTATATACAATATATAGTTTTCAACAGATTACTTTTTTTTTGTTTCAACAGAAAGAGTATCGGATGATCTACGTTTACACAAATATGGAAAATATGATTCCAATTTTCAGGGCATTCTATGTTATTTTCTTCATGTTGAAAATTGCAAAATAGCACTAGCGATAGTTTTAAAAAAAATCGACCCCACCACTGGATCCAGCACCCTTCAACTAAGTCAAGCGCAAAATTTTATTATAAAATTTCAATTGGCAATTAAGTTAACTCACCATTATTTATGAATATTTCAGAAAAATTTTGAGATGAGGCAACATTGTCAAAACACATGTTTGAAATAATTGTATAATAGTTTCTGGTAAATTAATAGCAAGAATTATTATCAAGTTATACCGTCATTAAAAAATATACTTATTATTTGATACGAAAATACTTGGTTATTGATGATAATTATTATGACAAGCCGGTTTTTCGACGTTATGGACTTTTTATTTTATGAATCTTCATGAATACCAAGATAAAGTTCATTTACTCGATGATAATTTGTGCTATTAAATCAAATGACTACCAGAAACTTCAATCATTTCCAACATTTGTGTTGACAATGTTGCCGCTTCTCAGAATGTGTCTGAATTATTAATAAAAAATCGTGTTACCAAAGATAACGTTGTTATAACTTTGTCGCCATCAATTGGAATTTTCCAATGAAATTATGCGTTTAACCTGATTGAAGGATGCTAAATTCATTAGTGGGGTCGAATTTTCTTGAAAAAAAAAAAATTGCTTATGATATTTTTTGCAATTTTTAACATGAAAAAATAACATAGTATATGCCCTGAAAATTGGAATTATATTTTGCAAATTTGAATGAACGTATATCTTCGAATACTCTTTCTGCGGAAACAAAAAGAAAATAAATCAGTTGACATTTATAGATTTTTATAAGGGTGCTTCGGTCTTAAATGGGTCACACTGTATCTATAGGTAAACCTAACTATACTTATAGACTGCTCTTGGCAATGAAACATTTGTGGTGTGAGGAGTCTTACAGAACATTATTAAAACTATATACAAAATGAGCTCAATTCTCAACAGATTTATCTTTATCACAATAATTGAATCAATGAACTATCAATTGAAACTGTAAAATAATACATTCCAACCATCAACATTATTCAGGAAAGAAGACACGATAAGTGATGTACACAAGAAGAATAGTAGTGTTAGGGAAAAGTGTGGAAATGAAAAACATATAGTTCCTTCACTGTTCTCCTTGAATGACCAGGTGGGTAATGGCTATTATAGTACCCTCCTTTAAAACCCCATTGGGCTGTGGGCACTCTGCCCATTTGTTTTGATTTAATAGTGAGTATACCAACTATGTTCTTCATTTCCACCATTTTCTTTAACACTGCGCCCAAAACATGTTCAGAAAATCGTGAGATTAAATACGTGGTGTCCGGAAAGGTCATGTCGTAAATGATAGATAGATAGATGGATAGATACACATTCTTTTATATGAAGTACTAACATTATTTTGACACACTCTATCAGCCCTATTATTTATGATGACCTTTCCGGACACCCTGTATGGTATAGATGACTTGTGCCTTGTTTCCTGAATAGTAAATATACTGGGTGACAACGGAAGGTGAACACCTGGTATTTATAATTCTATTTCGATAATTTTGACTTGGTTCGAATAAAAACTAATAAAATTTTCATAATTCTTAATGGAAAGTTTATCAATTATACGCTTTTGTCTGCAAAATATGTAAGCAAAAAAAATTGAATACTACATAATAAATAATATATTATCATAAAAAAAATTCAATATTTTATGTTTACTCCTCTATTTGTCAATGAGTATTACATTAAAGGGCAAAGTGCCTATAGCCCAAAGAGGGTGCGTTGCGCGATGCCCAATTCCCACGATGCCCAATTCCTTCGATGCCCACCTTCATGTCGACGATAACGAAGATTGCCGAAGAGCGCAACATGCCAGGTCAAGAAAAAAATTCAGTAAACCCAAGATTCCCACCATGCCCACTTTTTATATCATATTCCCACGATACTCAATTCCTACGATGCCCAATTCCCACCATACCTACTTTTCATGCATTCCCACGATACCCAATTCACACCATGCCCACCTTATCTGGATTCCCACAATGATAAAGGTAGGCATGGTGGGAACTGGGCATCGTGGGAATGCATGAAAGGTGGGCATGGTGGGAAACTAAAGAGGGTGGGCATGGTTGGGATTGGACATCGTGGGTAATATATGAAAAGTGGGGATGGTGGGAATTGGGCATCGTGGGAATGTATGAAAAGTGGGCGTGGTGGGAATCGGGTATCGTGGGAAAGTATGCAAAGTGGGCATGGTGGGAATTGGGCATCATGGGAATATATGAGGAGTTGGCATGGTGGGTATCTTGTGTTTTCTGTATTTTTCTGTTGACCTGGCAACGTTGCGCTCTTCGGCAGTTTTCGTAATCGTCGACATGGAGGTGGGCATCATAGGAATTGGGCATCGTGGGAATTGGGCATCGTGGGAATTGGGCATGGTGGGAATTGGGCATGGTGGGATGCTCCCCGCAAAGGGGGGTCAATAAGCCACCTGATATGATACAGAGAGGAGAACAGCGATAACAGCAAAAACAAAAATATTCTGTTTTCGCTGTTTTTTTATACAGCAAAAAATGAAAAAGGTCTTTTGGGTATATTTTCATCGTATCACCCAGTACATTATCTTCGTACCGTATTTAAGAAATCTTCTGTGTGTAAACGGTCATGGCTTTGTGGGGCGCCACAGGGTCGAATACGGACTTCCCATCAACTTTGTAATCCTCATATTTGAGAGTATAATGCAGCTCGAAGCCTAGTTTTTTGGCAGCGCGTGCAGTGTAATAGCTGGAGCAGTCCACCGAGCAAAAACCGCATCCTCTTCCTTTGGCCAGGTCTCTGAAACAGGAAAAAAAAAACTGAAAATCGATTTTTGGTAAAGCAAAAAAATGTGGCCTATCTTTGAAGGAACACCTGGGCGAGTGGACTCATAATGAATCGGTATTCAATTACTACACTGCGTCGTTAGGGACCATAATTAATTTTTGCAACAACTTTCACACTATATTTTTATGTAAATAATGAGATGAGTGTATGCGTTGTTCGAAATTTTTGAATTTCGGAGCCCATTTCAAACGTACCGTCATGGCCACTATTTGGCGATACGTCGTCAATCGTCGAATAAATTGTGATGTCAGCTTTTATGTTGTTTCGTTATTGGTCAGAAAATCTTCCATTCCCACTTCACGAGGCTAGGTTGCTAAGTCACCAATTATAATCAAGTTATCAAAAAGACATATATGTATATTATATAATGTATTATCTGAATCAGTAAATTTTATTTTTGACCAATAATGGCTTCAGACCTGAAACCGACCTGAATCGTACGTCCCTCAGACGTCCTCGAAATGTCCCCAAATGGTCCAGATTAGACCCGAAACGGACCTAATTCGTATGTCCTAGGGACTTCCGATTTTGTAACATCGTACGTCCCCAAAACGTCCTAAAGACGTCCGCCGTACTTAAAATGGACGTCCCCGGGACGTCTGGTATGTCCTATGCGAACGGCTTCAGGACGTCCTTGGGACGTACTTGTGCTATCTGGGTAAGAGTCCTGTCGTTGAATAAAACATAATAGGAGGAACCCATGCTATTATATAGTTCATTCTCGACTCTTTCGAGCAACCAGCATGTCCAAATATACTCCATACTCCATTACAAAATTTCATGTAAATGTTGGAGACTTGGAAACATTGTGCTGGTCCAATACATAATTGAGAATTTATTAATGTTTGAATAACTAATATTTCTGAAGTTCCTAATCGTGGGTACTATTTCAACACATGGCAACTGTGCTATGGTCTACCCCTACTTAAGAAATCGTGACATAAGTTTTTACTCGCGGTAAATGGTGGTAGATGTCTATCCGTTCTAAAATTACCGTGGCATTATTGATGATTTTAGCACCTAAAACTCGATGAAAAAGATCTAAAAAAATACGAAAACGGAAGGTATTTGAGTGATGATTCTATTTGAGAAATAAAAAAAAGTCCACTCGCCTAGTAAGAGGTTAATTGACACTATAATCTTGCAGTTACGGTTACTACAAATCACAACGACAATCTTGCAATTAGATCTAGATTGACAAATTAATCTCATGTCAAATTGAACTCTAATTTCGAATATCACTGAGCTCAATTATTGTAAGATTCGATCTTGCAAGTAGAGGACAATCGACAGATAAATCTTGTAATTAAAGCTTGATTGAAAGATGAATCTCATAATTGGACCAATCAAAACATTTTTTTGTTGAATTCAACTATAACAATTGACAGACAAATCTGGCAATTAGAGCTTAATTGAAAGACGAATCTTATTGTAACTAGACCAATCGGAACATTCTTCTGTCAGATGGAGCTGTAATTTCAAGATGAATGTAGCAAATACTTATAATTCAATTGTAATATCATTCACGCCAATTGAACTCTACGATTTATGTTGCATAATATAGCTCAATTGTATGATTAATCTTCCAATTTGATGTCAATAGATATATAAATCTTACAATTACGTTAATTATAACATCATTCTTGCAATTAATAGAGCTTATATAATTGGAGGATGAACCTCTCTGGTATGCAAATTGATTTTTCTCTGTTAATTGATCTCGAATTTGAAGAAAAAAAATTGAAATCCCTCTTGCAATAAGCACTTTATTGAAAGGTAATGTCTTGCAATTAGACTGATTACTAAAGTGACTCTCTAATTATAACAACAGCCATCTCGCAATTGAAGGTTGATTAACAGATAAATCTTGCAGTTTTAGGCTAATGGGGGAGACCACTAATTTTTCAAAACGACATTATCGTGAACTCTATACTGAAAAACTACCAGCGAATTGATTTTGAATTTTGTCATTCATGCTAAAACGATGAAAAAAATAAATTAGAATATGTCCATTTCAAAACACACAATTCCTGCGCCATTTGAAATTTTGTCAATTCATTGGTGTGACTGGTGCGACGTCCTATTCCCAACACGCCTATTGTCCTTGAACTGGCCAATCACACTGCAACACTGCAGAATGACGAGGTATCAGAGAGAGATAGCTACAGTTCGGGACTAATACGTCACGGCTCCACCATCATATTTGGCTGTTTGAAATATGCTGATTTCAAAACGATATAGATTCGATTCCATTCAACTTCAACTCATAATATTGATTGCACATCAGACGTAAATCATGATTCGTCGATTGAAAGAGGTTTGGATGGATTTCTTATCCCTCAGTGGACTTCCCCATTTCTGTCAGTTGAGGTTTAATTTCAAGATTATGTAAAAGTTCCAATTTCTGGAAACTGGACTGAAAACAATTGAATATCTAACCGATAAAAGTGATGATTAACAGTCGCTATTGAGTGGTATAGATTGTACCTAATCAATAGATCAATCTCTTTTGAAATACTATAGGATTTTGCCAAATATTATACGACCTTGAATTGTATTGATCACCATTTTCAAACATCATACTTATTCCTATAAGTTTATGTTTATGAGATTGAGCCTTGTATTTCGACAGTGACGATTAAATATTTTAAAATGAACACTTTTTGTATGTTCTGATGAGTAGGTACGTAAGTATACGTACTTCGAAATGACAATATATTTATCTCTTGACCCCTCTGTTGTTCAAAATTCGATTTTTATCTTTGGGATCTTGAAAACTCCATGTTGATTTTCAATGTGACAAAATAATGATATGAATAATAAACGATAACTTTCAATGTACTTTTCAAAAGATCTGCATGGACTGTATACACATTTTCGAAATGTTTTTTTTTCAGTCTTCCGAGGGGATATAATATATAAGCACTTACATGGTCTTAGACATGAGTTCCTTGGCTATGCCTCTTCCTCTATATGTGTCATCAACCGACAAAATTTTTACAACGATCGCTTTATCAACTCCAGGATATTTTTGGAACGGATCTGAAATTTCTTCGATGTGTTGAAGCAACTTGACGATTTTGCTGAACTTCTCATCTTCACAAACGAATTCTTCCTCAAGTTTTCCCCTTTGCATGATGCCTGTAATCAAATCAACCATCAAATCGGACATTCAACATACTACCTACTGATTGAACTAAACCAACCACAATGAAATCTAATAGATTTCTCAATGACTTATTGTTTGGGTTAGGTTCAGAAAGCACAAGAAATGTGTAGGATAAAAGTTCAGTAATGAACACGCTGAATTTTTTTCGTATAAATTGTTCAGATCTACGTCCCAAAATTTCGATGCATTTCTGCAACGTCATCGATAAACTTGTCGTAAGAGGTCAGATAGAGTGAGCCAAAATGATGTGAATCGCACTTTGTTACCTTCGTTGATCTTGAAAATTTGAATGAAAACAAGATATATTTCATGTATATCTTTCAAACGGTTGCCATGGGGTACCAATAAAATTCGGGCAACTATTAACTCATCCTAATTCCCATATAGCACACGACGTCCAATGGACGTCCAGTTCATATCAAAATGATGTCCAAACGTCCATGAACCTAACTTGGACGTTCAATGGATGTACAAATGAGGATATATTTTGTAACGTTCAGTACTGTACGTCGAATGGAGGTCCATTGGGAGTAGAATATTCGACATAACCGAAACATCCATATTTGTAAATATTAGAACGTCCATGAAATGTACGGAATCGGATCAAAATTGTACGTTCACGATTTGTACGTCAATGTACGTTGAATGAAAGGACGATTCCGGATATATATTGTAAGTTCAACATTGTACGTCTGATGGATGTCCATTGAAAGTACAATATTCGACATAATCGAAATATCCATGTTAGCAGGTTTCTGAACGTCCAAAAGATGTACCTGATTAGATTCAGTTTGTACGTTTACAAAATATACGTTAATACACGTTCAGTGGATGCACGATTCCGGATATATATTGTATGTTCAGTTCCGTTCGACATCCATATTATGGCGGTTTTAAAACGTCCAAGAAATGTACGGAAGTGATCTCAATTCTACTTCAACAAATTGAACATCTATGTACTTTCAATAAATGTACGATTCTGGATATATACTGTACGTTCGATTATTGTATGTCTTACGAATGTTTCAGAACTTCCAAGGAATGTACATAATTGGATCGACTTTCTACGATCACAAATTGTACTTTCATGTACGTTCAGTGGATGCACGATTCCGGATATGTATTGTACGTTCACTTTCATGCGTCCATTGATTTTCCAGTGGATGAACAGTTTTTGACATAAGCGAATCATCCATATTTGTGAATTATATTAATCATTATAGGTTCACGAGTTGTACGTTTGTGTACGTCCACAGTGGAAGAAAGATTCCGAATATGCATTGTACATTCAGTTTGGTATGTATTATCGATGTCTATTGGGCGAACATTATTTGAAATTATCTAAACATCCATATTTGTTGATTCTGGAACGTCCAAATATTGTGCGACAAAGGATTCAGTTTGTACGTTTAGTACATTTAAGTACGTTCAATGGAAGATCAATCTTGGATATATAGTGCACGTTCTGTTTCGTATGTTGAATCGATGTCATCATTCGCGACATAACCTTTTCGGACACCATGTGTATAGCTGTTGTTTCTGAAGGGGTTCCACAATTATTCGATTCCGAACCTATGTTCATAGGACTTTTTTTCTCATCTCAATGAGAACTATACTCACTATGCTCCATTGAAGCTAGGCAGAAACAAACTAAAACACCCTGTATTCATTCATCATACCATTCAGACACACGCCAATAATTTTCCCATCGTAAACAGCCAAGAGGTTCAGACCGCTGTCCAGATCCTGGAGGGTGAACTTCTCTAAGTCGTAGCATCTGGGGTTCTCCTCGTTGATGAGCTCCAGAAAGGAGTTGAGCGGTTCGTCCTTGTAGAAGAAGTTCTGAAGGAACTCCCGGATCCGCTCTCTGTCGTCCTCGGAAGCTATTTGGATTTCGAAGTCGATGGGGCTGCCTGGCGTGGAAGGAGTTGAACACGTGGACAAGCTGGGGTTGCTCTCGACGGACAACTGGGGCTGGAATGGAAATTACAAGGTGAAACCAACCCAGGCAACCAGATGACGAATGATCACGTCACTGTGACGTCCCTAATTGGAGATTTTTCGTCAGATACGTCACACACCAATTTATGACGTCACTATGACGTACTTACTATGATAATCACGTCATCGTTTCGACGTCGAGTGAACGTCACTCAGATGGGTAAGAGAAGACGTCAGTTTCATGACGTTGTTGGGACGTCCTATCGACGTCTAATTTTCTCAGACTTTTTCACAAATAAAGTTAAGAAATATATTTATATGCAAAGGAATGATCAAAGCTGAAAGACTTTGAATTTCCTTTCTTCTTTTTCACTGTTTTTATTTTCCCCCTTCTTGTTCACTATAATATGACTGTATCTTAATGATATGTAAGTTTTGTTCGCTATTTGTAATTTCAATTATACAACAGTCGATAATACTTCATGAATGATCTTATACCAGGAATTACTGTCTGATCATTCATGTCATGCCTACTAGAAAATTAATTATACTTTATATATTATTTTTTTTTATCGCTTGGAGCGCACGAAAGGGAATCCCTATAATGTTCAAAGAACATCGTGCGTTCCTAGGGAGGATAGGGACAGGAGGTAGGTATTGGAATTTTTTTTGAACATTTGGAGATTGTATGAAATGTATCAATGAAGAAGAGAATGTAATGCAATAACTGAAATAAATAAATAAATAAAAATCATTTATCACGTCATGCGACGTCAACTACTAACATCACCTTGGTCATTCAAGTGACGTAAATAATAGCAGGTCACTGGAGCGTCATCTGGGAAGGTTGGCCCCAAAATAGCACCAACGGTACAACGCCTATGATAAGTATCAGAAGTAATTAGAATATGCCTGCATCTCGACTGATATGCATAGTTTTCAGGTTGGTATTATTGTACTGACCCAATATTGAGTCCAAATGGTAGGAAGAATTTGAATGCATTTCAGTGCAGGCATGTTCCAATTATTTCTGTAAGTTTAGAACGACATTTTTCGGAAACTGCGCATCAAAAAGCCATAAACTAGGGTACAGTTGGTGTTATATATTAGTGAAGGAGATGATGTTTATCTTAGAAATGGAAAGACTTGGCAAAGAGGAAGAATAAAGGAGAAACATTCTGCACCTCGATCATATATTGTAGATACAGGGGATGGAGAACTAAGGAGGAATAGAAATGATGAGCCTCTAGTAAATTGCAATAACAACTCTTCTGAAAGTTCAACTGATCTTGAGAATAACTATCCTTCTAATTTGCCTAAACCCGAACAATCATTGTCGGGTGTTAGTCAAGTCGTATTCCTAAATTGCCATATAGATTCAAAGATTTCAATTTAAATTGATACTTGTAAGGAGGAATAATGTTATATAATATAGTTTGATTGCTCGTTATGTATGATTTTGTATTGTGCAGTATCCATATGGTTATGGATGAAGGATTGTCATAACTTTTGGAAATAATTAATAAAAGTTTCATGTTCATTGGAGACTTTTTATATCATTATAAGAAGATTAAACAGTTGGAAAGAGAATTAAACGCCCTATAAAATAATGTGCATCTTGGCGCCCTTTTCATATAAGGTTCTGAAGGTAACATCTACCCCTTCTAGGGGGTTGAACCAAGATAACTGAAAATATGCATTCGAAGTGTCCCTCTTGACATTGGAATCGACCTATCTTTTCGATTTTTCATTTTATTTACTGAAAGGTAGATATTGAGGGTGGGGAGCTTTCCAATTGACACGGCATTTTTCGGAAACTGCTCAACAGAGAATGATTTTATTTATTTATTTATTTATTCATTTATTTATTGAAAATGTAACTTCCAGTCAGAATCAAGTTCTGGTATAAGGAAGTATAGTTAACAATAATACCTAAAACTATACAATTATAATAAACTAATAAATAATATAATATTTGAAAACATTAAGTATTAAATTTTGATAAATCATTTCATAATGGTGAGCAAAAATCTATTTGAATCTGAATAAAAAGCTGAAAAAAAATCATCTATCTCGTTCAGAAATGATAAATTTTTTAAGTTGGTATTTAAATTTTATTGCATTTCTGCAATTTTTCATATTATGGTAATTTGTTATATTCCAAGAGAGCAGCGTGGGTGAATCTTTTTTGGCCTATAGAAGAATTAGCGATATCAAGATGAAATAAACCATGTTGTCTAGTTTGGCAATTATGAATATTATTGTTTCGTGTTAAAATAAAATTAGATTTCAATCTTTTATTTATGATATTGTATGTAATTTTCAGTCTTTCAATTTTGAACATTTCTCATTCTAATGAGAATGATTCATTTATTTTATATAATTGATTTGTTAATTGGTGTATCATATGGTAAACGATACAGTACTTTCAATGTCTTTTTATATAATGCAGATATTTTATTGAAATTGTTTTTTGAACAGTGTCCCCAAACATTTATCAAATAGTTAATACGACTGAGTATATGAGAATATAGAATTATATTTACAACTTTTTTATTCAGCTTGGGACATCTTCTCAGGGCTCCAATAATATATAGGAGATTTTTCGTCAAAACATTAATATGTTTGTCCCACTTTAATTTATCATAAAACCAAATCCCAAGATACTTTTTCTCATCAGTTTGTTTCAAAGATTCATTTTTAATTCTGGTTAGAAACTCTAACCTTGGCCCCATCAATTGTAAATTGATTTTTGCTAATTGAGTGCGCTCTCTCAAGGGTACGGGACCCTTTTCCTGTATTACACCAAAATGGTTATTAAGAGCGCATTGTGTGCTCGTCAAGTTTCCCTTCTGGGACTTGACTTTTGATTCTATTTAATGAGTGCACGTTCTTAGGGCACGGGGCCCTTCATTTTAAATGAAAACCCGTTTATTCCTCCAAACTATTTATTATTATTATACATGATATTATGATGAGAGACATCGGCAACCTTGTTAAAACAAATAATGTTCACCTCCATTAATTTCTAAAATACGGCTGAAGATGGACTTTCATAAGTTCGAAACATGTCCCGTTGAATAACTACATCAATATTAAAGTAGTGGAGATGACTTTGAGCTCTCCTTCCTCCTTTTAAAGATTCCACTCCACTTTGAGCAAACATGGACTTCTAGCAGAGATTAGAATATGGTGTTTCTATCTCCTGTCTCGTGCTCATTATACTTATTCCCACGACATTCAATCATATATTTGAAAAAAAAAACTTGTTATAAATCATTAAAAATATAATAGATATGTTTATAACGTATAGCTAGATAAAAATTAAGATAATTGAACTGACTTCTAGATTATGCTTTCTAATTATTCGAAAAATCCGAACAGCCGATAGTCAACCAACACTCCTTATAGATTATGTTACTAGAAAATTACAGTGTGTCTCATATCAAATGCCTTTCCGCGCCTTTTTCTCAAGTGAGTAGGTATTATAGTTATGCATGGATAGGCAATTTTGGTTTTGGCTTGGAATTAATCACCGTCAATATATGATCAGTTCTCCTGATACGAACGTCATCATTTTATATTATATTATGGTCAGATAAAGGAGGCTTTTATACACACGGTGTAAAGACAATAGCAATAATTGTTAATTAATATACTTCTCTCGTTTCTAACAAATAACAATATCTTTAATAATCAGCTATAGAGATTGTTCTAAACATTCTCTTCATTTGCAAATCTGATGTAGGAGGAATAAGTATTTTATAATAGCTGGTATATTAGTCATATAGGTGCTCGTATGATGATGATAATAATAATGAACATACTCAACATATACTTATGTATGCACAATTCGTTTTCATTCTGAATATCATTTTGAAGTTGGAAAAATAATGTCGTATGGCAATATTGTCAGTGTTACGACTTGGCAAGATCCTAGATCTTTATATAGTTATCATTTTAATAAGAACGATATCAAATGGTACCTATACTGATCCAACATCCAACAAAATTTTATCTTTCACGAAAAACTGGCATTAGACAGAATTGCTCGAATCGAAAGTTTTTCTCGTGAAAATAGTCATTAGAGAATTCTTTTCATTAGGAAGAAAAATGTATCCGATAATAATTCAATTCATGTGTAAAAAATCCTGTGAGCTGCTGTGATCATTATGATAGCAAAAAAAGTTATCTCTTACTTTTCCAGTGACTATACAGAACCAAACTCAGCCATTTAATGGCTAGTTCTAACCATTTTCAAACTTAGCTAGGTACTAAAAATTGCATCTAGCCATTTATACATTATCTCTGGCTATTCTTATCCTGAATTTCTATTAAAATATTCGAATTTTTATAATATACCCAGATAACTCATTAAATTCACGTTCTCATCTAAGTCGAATTTAAACATATACAGTGTGTCCACCTCAAGGACTCACCACCCCTGTAAAATCGTTATTATCCGACCAATTTCATAAAGCCTTTTTTTGTTGGATAGGTATTTGAAATGCCCATCCAACGAGAGAGTGTTCTAATTCTTGGACTGTTATCGTGGCCAACTGCGACAAATTTCAATGACCCATATTACAGAAAGTACTATTAGGGATTTTTTTCCACGAAATTTGATGATTCGAAAAATCAAATTAATATTTTTTTTTGAGTTGATGAAAAAATATTGCCAACTTCTTCTTTTTAATTGTTTTCTCATACACATTGTATTTTTGACTGATGAAAATCGGTACAGATATATTCAAAGTGATCCTCAACAATAATGTGTCATCAATTCTTCTCAAAAATACCACAATACTACATTTTCTGATCACCTATATATTAAAAAAAAAAAACATAATTCGTTTTTTCGGACACCCTGTGTTTTATGATGATAAAAATCAGTAGAGGTGTTTTTCAAGTGATCGTGATTCAGAATCCATCATTGTTTTTTGTGAAAAAAGAATCCCCAATAGTACTTTCTCAAATATGGGTCAATAAAGTTGGTCGCAGTTGGCCACGATTACAGTTCATGAGTGAAATCA